CTGTTTTTGACTTACCTTCTCACAGTCATTTTTAGAAGTCTCAACATATTCTTTGTATGCAATTCTAACATCTGCACAAAGAAAGAGGTGGTTTTATTTTCTGTTCACATGACTAATTACATTATTGGAATATGGTTATGCTAAGGATAGAGTGTTTTATATGATAACAATTAATTTTTGATTAGCGTATTTGATAATTATTTAATTTCACTACCAATTCACTTTTATCTCAATCCCTTGCTGTAATATATCTTTTAATATGAAGTTACAATTTCCTCTCATAAAAATGATTTTTCTTCTGATATCTGGTTAGTCCTGCACACCATCTGCTGATCAATGTCCTAGGTTGTATAGGGGTCATACATTGCTGTAGTCATTAGCTAACTAAGAGCTTAGATCAATCAGTAAAGTAATTCCACAAGGTATTGAAGTTGCTGTTAGTTATATAGTTAAATATAGTTATAGTTAGGAGTACAACAAAAATCTTGTGCTGAAATGTTTAATTTCACAGAATCACACACAGAATCACAGAATGGTTGAGGTTGGAAGGGACCTCTAGAGATCATCTAGTCCAACCCCCCTGCTCCAGCAGGGATACCTAGAGCACGTGGCACAGGGTGGCATCCAGGCAGGTTTGGAAGATCTCCAGAGAAGGAGACTCCACATCCTCTCTGGACAGCCTGTTCCAGGGCTCTGTCACCCTCACAGGAAAGAAGTTCTCTTTATGTATCAGATAACATTCATCACCAGTGTAAATGGAAATATGTTTTTCATGTGCCTTTGCCAGTTCCTTATGTTGCTGAATAAAGGTGGTATTATTTGCCATTCTAATATAAATAGAATTTTTGGAAAAAAAAAAAGGAAGCGTGATCAAAATGAGATAAATCTTCCTGCAGCTTTGAAATGGCTTTTCTGATCTTGTGCAATGAAAATGAATTTTTGTCTTTGGTATGCTGAAATCTGAAAGCATGTGTGAAAAAACATCCCTAGATTTCATTTGAAACTGCTGCTAAGCTGGTATTTCCAGGCAAAAGTCAAGTTCTTGGCACATAGCGGGCAGAACAATGAAGGTATCTTGCTATGTGTCTAACGACGTGCTTGAGCCTCAGTTCAGACAGGTCTAAACAATCAATTGCAGCTTGTAAGTGCCTCATTATTCAAGATAAAGACTTGAGGGCCATGCAGCTCTCACACTGTTGGTATTGCAGTTGAATAAATAAGTCATTGAGTATGGAAACTATACAGTATTAGTGTTTTTTACTATGCAGAATTGCTGCAATATCTATGCCCTAATAGAGCTTTTTTTTAAAAAAAAAGAGATTTTTTTTAAAGATTTTTTTTAAAAAGAGAGATTTCCCAGTACTCACTGTTTTGCAGATACTTACTCTCTACCTAAATTCCTTGCAGTCTCTTAAACTATTGTTCTATAATCTTTTGTTCCTATGAAACTACCACACCAAATTCTAAAAGAAAAATGTAAACTGATAAAGCAATAAATGAGCAACCTGGAAATTTTGTTTCACATAGAGAAATTAAAGTAAGTCAGCCTATTTTGCAGTCTTGCAGTTCTTGCTATGTTTTTCTTTAGACTTTGTTTTCTATCGTTGTTTTCTAGAGATTAGATGGTGTTCCCATTGTTATGATTAATATTTCTGGGTAGGACAGGTTTAAGCCCACTGTACCAATATAGTACATTTAAACTTGTCAAATACTTGTAAAATGAACAGCTTCAACAGGAGATAGTATTTTGTAATGTAGTGTATTTTATGTTCTGGAAAAATACCAGTTAGCAGAGTTCTATTGTCTCTATTGATACAACATTTTCAAGTTACTTATTCCATTAGTCCAAAGATTTCTTCAAATTTTAAATATGATGTGAATAAGAAAGTAAAGGATGAGTTCATCTTAATTGTTTCCTTTCATAAATGTGTATTTATATACTTACATATACATTTATATTAATGTGTGTTTAATTCTGGAGAAAAAAACAAGAGCCATACAAAAATGAAGCGGGAAAAGCAAAGCTGAGATTGAAGCATCCAAAACAGAGTATCAATCAGCTAGTCTTTTTAAAGGACCATTAATAGGAGGGTAAATGGTAAGCTTCATTAAAAAAAATCTATATTTTGAATTAGTTGTTTTGTTGCCTTTTTTAAAGAAGCAAGTAGCTTCTGTATAACTCAGGGAAAAGCACAAGGAAATATGTTTTTCCTGCACATTCTTTTTATGCTTTAGAGAGTGAAACATAGCTGTAAAATAATCTGGGTTAGTCAGGTCAGTATAGAAGGGAAAGGAGAATAGAGTGCTGTCTGGGGCATTAAATTAAGCAGCAGCAATGCTGGTGGACCTTTATTTATTTATTTATTTTTCACCTCTCGATATCATTATTACTTCCATGCAAAATTTATCTCTTTTTCACATTTCTGTGGAAACCTCTTGATCTCATTGCATTAGTTGTCTCCATCCCCTGGTTAAATCCTTTATGTATTCCTGTCTGATACTAATTTGTTCCTCTGGTCCCATGTATAGTCAGGAGAGTAACTTATTCATCTCCAGTAGCACTGCTGAAATCACAGAAGTGCTTGATGCCGTGATTTATCAAGGCACTTAGGTCAGTGCCTTAAGCATGTGCTAAAAATGAAGCAAATGCTTGCATGAACCTCAAGGATTAGTCGCCAGCATAATGGTTTCCAGGGTCCTTAAAAAATGTGAACTTGTGGAACAGATTGGCTGCTGCTGTAGGTTAGAGTAGCTCTACTGAAATCGGAATGACTCTAACAATGACTTTAGTGGAATTATGACAAGTCTACACTAAAGCTTCCTCTTTTCTTTGTGCAGTACTGATAATTGTGACATGTCAAAAATAAAATTCAAAAGTTAGAAAAAGCTTTGTATCTGGCCACTTGACACATACACCTAGAGGGTTGTTCTGCCATTCAGAGGGACCTTTACAGGCTAGAGAAATGGGCAGAGAGGAACCTCAGGAAGTTCAGCAATGGGAAATGCAAAGGCCAGCACCTGGGGAGGAATATTTCAATGCACTAGTACAGGCTGGAGGGCTGACTGCCTACAGAGCAGCCGTGTAGAGAAAGCCCTGGGAGTTCTTGGGGGCCCATGAACAAGTTAGCCAAGAGTCAGCAACCCTTAGAGTTAAGCAGGCCAGTGGTATCCTGGGCTGGATAGCAGTTTGAGATGTGGTGCTGCACAGCACTGGTGAGGCCATAGCTGAAATGCTGTGTCCAGTTCTGGGCTCCCAGTACCAACTTCTACTGGAGTGTGGCCAGAGAAGGGCAGTTGAGATGGTTAAGGAACTCAGGTATCTCTCGTGCAGTGAAAGGCTGAGAGAACTGGGTCTGTTTAGCCTGGAGAAGAGAAGACTTAAGGAAGGATATTATCACTCTGCATAAGTACCTGAAGGGAAGGTGTAAAGAAGTCAGGCTCTTCTCAGTGGTGCTTGGTGGAAGGAGAGGCAAGGACCCACACTGAAACACAGGAAGTTCCATCTGAATCTAAGAAAAACAAAATTGTTCATTGTGAGGGTGACTGAACACTGGAACAGATTGCCCTGAAAGGCTGCGGAGGCTCCATGCTTGGAGATACTCAGAACTCAGATGGACAAAGTCCTGATAGATAGTCCTGTCCTGCTCTTGGTGACTCTTGCTGGGCAAGTGGATTGGACTGGAAGATCTCCAGAGGTCCCTTACAACCTCAGCTGTTCTAAGATTTTTTAGTTGTTTACATGCTATTGAGTGTTTAATAGAAATATTAGCATCTCAATATGAGATTGCATCCTTACAACATATCATTTTTCCATTTGGTTTTGTAGTGTCATAATCTTTCATATTTGCTGATAATGGAATGTCTGTGGTGTCACTTGTCACACTGTCACTTGAGCGCTAAATTAGATAAGAATTTAAAATTGTGTGGGCCAAAACTCAGATAACCCAGTCAGGATGTTTCTTGTGCCATGGATGAAGTTTGTTTTTATATTAGGAAACTATATAGGAAAGTAAAGGGGTTACCTTTTTCTGTTAGGCCTGCCAACTCTCCTCTCTAAAAATCTTAATTTCTAAGGTAAAGACTGTTTTGTGTGGATATGTTTCTATCTCTTTGATTCTTTTTTTCTGTATATAAAGAGATACCCATTTAGGTCATGTTGCATATTTTGATTTTGTGAATTATTACATGTTTGCAAGCCAGCTGACAAAATGTTTAGAAAATTAAAGACCTATTATCAACTGTTTTATTCTGCATGAATTCACAATATTTATATTGTATATCTTTCTACAGTCATAAGCATGAAGTTAATTCTCGTGTATAGGAATAGTATTTTTGAGCTTTTGGGAATAGTTATAGACTTTTGTATAGAGCTTTTCCAGGTATTTAATCATTCTTTTTGTAAATTCAGGGATAAAAAAAAAAAGGTTCTGTTTTAGGGGCAGCATTATTGCATTTCAGAAATAATATCCTGTAAAATGGATGTAACAAGGTATTTTATCTAAAAGCCCATTGTAGGTTTCTTATTATGAGTTTCAAGCTTCTGCAACGATAAAAGCGCTCTTATTCAAATGTATATTATTGCATTCATTTCTCTAATAGCAGTATTCCATCATATCAACCTATAAATAGACAAAGAAACAATGGCATAGAGTGCTTGTTATTCATCCTCAATATTTTTTATTCCATTGTTAGGTATCAGTCTGTGGAATAGTCAGAGTATTTGCATGGAATACAGAAAAAAAAAGTTATTTCCTCTGAGTAAACTTGTGCTTTCTGTTTGTGTTTCCTTGCAATATAAAAATTTAGTATTTCAGTTGCATTGGTCAAGGCATTTTATTGCCTTCTTGGTGACAATGAAAATTGCACAAAGCTTCAAATAAAAGCACTTCCAAGTGTGAATTAAATATTGGGTGTAGTCTTTTGTAAATGGAAATGAAAGTACACTTTGATAATAAATCTTTTTGTGTATTTCAATAAGATGTCTATTTTTTTCTTCCTAGATACACCTTTAGTTAAAATCATTTCTTCCAATTCATGGCCTGAAGAAGGACAATCTATAGTTTTGACTTGTGAATCCAAAGGAAAACCAGTGTAAGTGATCTAACAAGCAATGTGTTTTTGTTATTTTCCTTATTCTGCTGTGATTGCAATCTTCAGCTGCAGAAATTTGCTGTTTTTGTCTTGTCCTGAGGTGTATCACTGGTTTAGAAAACCCCTTGGAACCTGTCTTCATTAAGTGTCCATAGAAAATTGGTCTTTTACTTTGTCGTCTCCTTTAGTTTTCAGCTAAGAATTCCAGCTGTAAGATTTTTTTTTTTGGTCAGGTATATCAACCTGAAAGGAGTGCAGGCTTAATCAGTCACTGTTTACATTACTGAAATGATGCTAGGAGAGACAAAATATCTCATGAAAAACTTCCCACATTCACTAGCCTTAGAGAAAAGATATTGAACTTTCCGGATGCTTCAACGTCATTTACAAGCTGTTACAAGCATGTAATGATATATTCGATTTGGGTACTTGGTTATATCGGAATTTGAAAAGACTTAGTCTGCTTTAAGAATATAAATTGTTTTACTAGGAAATTTATATCCCTGCCAAAAGTATTTTTAAAGGCACATCTGAAGAAACTACCTCTTTCACAACATCTGCTATTAAAAAGGTTTTAAAAATGTTTTCCCTATATAATAGACCTGCCTCCTTGCAACAGAAACTTCCTTAGTTGAGCTCTTACGGATTTACCCATGAAGAAACAATCATGTTGCTTAAATATTAACCTAATATTCAAAAGATTAATATGTAATGTTGCATAGAATGATGATATGTAGCTTTAGAATAGTTTTGAAAATAATAGGTGATCATATTTTGGATCTAGAAGTAGTGCAAATTACGTGCCAAGAATCATAAGCCATGTAAGGTTGAATTTCTCCTTGGTATAACTTCAGTGACCTTATGTAACTGCTAATATACCTATGTACTGCTGATCTGACCTGAAGTCAGATTTAGGTAAAGGTTTGAGATTTGAAGTCCAAAGTTTCCTTTTATAAAAGCCTTAGATTAGTCCAGCATCGTTTCAACCCATAGGTGCTTTGCTTTCTTACAGTGTGCCTATACAATTTTAAAGTAACTTATTTTATCCAAATTTTGACTCAGCTGAGCAACTCAGCTTCTAGCTCCTGCTTTTACTTGGCTTGCGACCAGAAGGCTGGGTGTCCTTCCCGTTAATCGTATATGGTGCTCAATGTAATCATTTTTCTGTGTACTCACAAAATTGAGTTCCAGCCACCTCTTGCTTTTATAATTTACTTGAAGGAGAAAGAACTACCCATTTATAGAATAGCCTTTGAGCTTTCACCTAGGTATTGGGAGGTACAGAGTACGTTTCCTCATTTCTTTCCAATCCAGCAGAAGTGCTTATTTTTATGGAAGAGTTCAGGCCTGATTGCCCTGAGTGAGCAATTGGCTAGGTGGAATTTAGGATTTTCTCCATCTCAGTGTTTTCCACATGGCTAACAGTCAGCAGCTGCATGCTGAGAGTGCTGTTTGACATATTGACTTTAGGGATCCTAGCCCCAGGTGCTTAATTTTCCCTATTCAGGTAACATGCACAGTAAGCATGAAGATTTAAGTGAGGTGGTCATTACATATTTTTAGTTATTTTTGTACACCAGGTAGGTGCTGGTGCTTTCTGATTTTGGCAAGAAAGTGTGCCCACTCAAACCCCTAAGTATAATAGGACATTTAATCAGAATATTCAAAGCTAGGAGCAAAAGAAAATGTTAGCAGTTAAATCCCCCTGTGATTTTGTGATAAATCTCCTGTCCCTTCTGATACTGCGAACCCCGAGTGATACATCATCCGACAGACCTATTGTCAAGCGAAAGGGTGTTCTCATGAGAACATGTTGCCTCTCTAATAGATAAGGACAAGGAGATGCAGGTGGCATAATTGCCAGCGCCATTTGGGAGCTGCCTACAGGCCCCTCCATTATAATTAGCCAGCTAAGTTTATCCTGTGGCCGCATGTGCAGTCCCGGGCAGGCCCATGTCTGTGTGAGTTGACTCAGGCCGACTCTTCTGTGGGTCACTACCTCCTCAGCGCGCTGCCATCTCCCCTTTGGCTCACTGCACTTCCCTTTCCCTGCTGCTTGTTTCAAGGGAGGGTCGGTTTGCCCCTCACAGTTAGAAACTTTAAATCATAAGAAGGTTTGGAGGGTTCATTTCTTCGTTTTGGGCTTTATTTATTTATGTATTTATTTTATGAGACAAACAGCTAATGTTTGGAGAGATGGGTATAATGGAGGACTGAGGGGAGAGCAGGCAGGAGAGTTGTATAATACTTACTAGATGTTCCATCTCTCTCTAACCATCTGCACAGTAGATGTCTACCTCTGGGCTGCTGTTTGTCTTCTGTTTTTGTTCCGGGAGGGAGGAATAGGTGTTGTTATGATGTGACTGATCCAATTTATGCTAGGCACCTACCTCAGCAGTTAGGGAGGCCAAATATAGATGCCTAAATATATCTATTTATATCTATCTCAAATTCAAATCTTTTTTTTTTTGGTCAGATGCATCTCACTTTATGTACTGTTTATAATCACATTTTCCTAATCTTTGTTGAACGAATGGGCATTTTTTTCACATGACAAAGGTATCAGAATCTGTTACAAAAGGAGGCTATCTTCTCAGATTTTAGATTTTTTTGTTACCAGTCCTTTTGGAGCCAATAAAAATACGAAAAATTATATATTTTAGCATGACTTATGCAATACATTTGATACATTAAATATTGTAGATCTTTTAGATATATATATATATTACTATTAGGAAATACTAATTTAAAAAATGGCAATCCCATTGAGCTTATTCACTGAACAAATTTTCTTTTCTTATTTTTTTTTTTCAAAAGAGGAGTCAATTGCAACCTTAAAGGATTCAAATGCAGATTTTTCACATGGTTTTGAAAGGGCAGCCAAGGAAAAATTCCACACCACAGAATTATCAAGGCAGGGCACCTGTGTGCGGTGGACTTCGGGCACAAATATTTTGTGCCAATAAATGCACCTCTAATTGTGCATATAAAAAAGCTGCCAACATCAGCTGCTCTGCATTGCTTCATTAGGTCAGTCTTTTACGGAACGGAGCCAGTAATAAATAGGCATCCTCCTGGGAGCAGTTTGCAGTTGCTTAGCATGAGAAATAGTAATGTCGTGCTCCCAACCTACATTGTGATTACTTTCTGGCTTAGAGAGAGGAATTGGAGAGGTCCTCAGAGCCCACATAGTTGGTGTCACAAGATGAATAGGTGATGAAAGACTAAAGAGGAGGAAAGGGGAGAATAAACTGCAAGCAGCATAGAGAGCTCAGAGTCAACCAGTGGCCCTTCTTAGCCATTTGAACACTCTAGGTTAACTTCTATACACTCCTGTCAACTTCATATTTGGTTTCTTGTATGCAACAGTCAGTTATACCAGTGAATGAGAGCTTATTTATATAGGTACATTTCTTTATATCTGAGTGATGTTCTCAAGCTTCAGAATGGTGCTAGGGATTAATAGAGTCAAGCAGGATTGTAGCTATGGTGCCATTCACGATATTGAGAGCTACTGCAGAGTAATTCAAAAGGGAAAAACAGAATGAAGCTAAAGCTAAAATACACTTGCCACATCTCACCAAGCTCGTCCTTGCAGCAGAGGAGTGCAGTCAATGGTTCCCATTCAGACTCTGCTCTTATTACTAGTAGAGGAATTACTTTGGAGGAAGAAGCTGTTCTTCCAGGTAAAGATTCTCTTGCTGCTGTGTTTTAAATGTATATGATGATGCTTGAGATATTCTTCTGCAATCTTAATCATTCCTAGGGTTATGTTGGTCAGAAGCAAGACAGCGTGTAATTATAACTGAAAAGTGTGCATATTTGAAATGCAATAGTCTATATATTCCTCCTGTGGAATACTGAATGGTAATTAAATGGTAAGCCAGTTTGCCTGTAAAGTGTTGGAAAATAGAGGATGATATTCTCCTCATCACAATTACGGTGTCTTCTTAGGAGACTTCTCCATCACTTTAACAGTGCGGAAACAGTGGAACAACACAGACATGCAACTCTAATGTTTCTTCTCCTCTTAGTGAAAGTCAGCATTTTTTTCTCTCTGTCTTACTCTAGTCATTATATTCAGATCTTATGACCAACTATAGTTTTGTGTTTGGCAAACATAAGTTTAGTGTTAGGCTGTTACTTCTTTGGTTGATGAATCATTGACAGACTAGATTTAGAGTTTTCTTTTGGATTTGTGTTTCCGTCAGGTTACTCACTTTCTATGCAGCACTCAGTTGTTGGTTTGTTCACTCTCTTGAAAATTTTTATAATAACAATTTCCATTTTTTCAATTGTAGATAATAATGTTTAGTCGTTTCTTAACATAACTTAAGTCAAGACCACATGGGTGTATCTGAGGTTTTCATTCATTGTCACATTCCTCCTTTGGTGAGAATCTTGTATATTCTCAAAACAGATGGAAGATAGTTTCTTGTCTTTTCAATCCTTAGAGCTATTTTGTCTTTTCCAGAGTTTTTGATTTGATCCCAGACAGCCATAACATTTTTCAAAATAAACTAGTTGAGTAGGACCATAATCAGAAGCTCTTCCTTATTTACTTTTTTTTGCCTTTTTTTTTCTTTTTAGGTTAGTGTAGTTTTACTTTTAGTCTTTCCTTTGCCAAACAAGGAAAAGTGATTAGCCTCCAAAAATAACAGACCTCCTTTTAATGAACTCGTTTGCATCGTCCAGACTTACATCTCTAGAAATAAAGTCATACTGCATAGCAACACATTGAATATTTCTCTTAATAAGCAGGAGTAAGCTGATTTAAGAATAAAGAGCAAATTGACCATGGACACTATTGTCTGTACTGTTGTCTGTACTAACAGTGTATTCTAATTGCAAATTATGACCTCTACGTATCATTTCATTTTAATAGAACCATATATTGATGTGACTCAAAACAGACCCAAAATTGAATGCCAAAAAAAAAAGGAAAAAAAAAAGAAAAATTCCATATTTAATATGTGTCTTTTCAGGAAGTACTTCAAACT